AAGCAAAGGTTCCATGGACCTTTGCTCCACTTGTGGAACAAAGGTTCCATGGACAAAGGTTCAATTTTATTGTTTTATAATAATAAAATTTCTCTGATTTAATGTTAACTGCCTTCAAATAACTAAATTTACTTCTGCCATTAGTTTTGTTTTATAGGAATAAAAGCAATCTGTCTATAATTTTTATCTATAAATTTAATTTTATTTTCTGCTTTTTATTTTTATTGCACTAAAAAAATATGTGAATGCAATATTAATTTGAAGCAGTTTTTGGAAATATGTTTAGAGAATTTAAATCAAACACACTAACAATGCAAAAATATTATAGAGTTGAGTTATTGTCAAAGACAGTTGTCAGTAGTTTAGTTATTGTCAGTTTAGTTATTGTGTAGTTGTTGTCAAAGCGTAGTTTAGTTGTTGTCAGTGTAGTTTAATTATTGTCAGTTTAGTTATTGTGTAGTTGTTGTCAAAGTGTAGTTAAGTTGTTGTCAGTGTAGTTTAGTTATTGTCAAAGAAATTATTGCTTTGAAAATATTTATGTTATATTTTAAATAGGTTTATCTTAAGGTATGTCAAATAAAAACTGGCACAATTAGTTTTATATAACTCTTTTTTTTAATTTAAAAAAATTGTATATATATTTCAGGCCTTGCGATGAATAAGAACTGCGCGACGCATAAGTACGACGTGATTTTTGACGTCATTAAATTCTTTTTATTTGCTTTTCATATTTATCGACATTAACTGCGCCAATTTACTTAATTACCGGAAAACTACTTTAAATCGTTTATGTAGAAATGTTATTATTTAAAAATGTTTTAAAATGTTTCGTTTTTTAAAATGTAGAAACATTTGTTTATTTTCTCGACGTTTGACATGTTTTGTCTATACTAAACGAATAAAAAACATTATAACTTAAATTTAAAAAAGATTATAAAATATGCTAATATTTGATTTTTTTTTTCTTAAATATGTAATTTAAAGTTTTTCAAATAATTATTTTTTCTTTTTAAAAAGTCAGCGAGTAATAAACTGGAAATTTTAATATTGTACGATTAAAAACTGTGCAATAGCTAATATTTTTACAAGCGATTTTATATAATATTTATTTATTTTTATTTATTTTCATAAAGCGGTTGATAAGCACAATCACTCGTATTAATAAAAAACTTAAACGAACGTTTTGAATAGATTTTTAATGTTAACAAGGAATTTTATTTCAAGTAATATAAAATAAAATGTTAGAATAAAAATCTTATAGGTATAAAATAAATATTTCAGCGAAAAAATTATTATTAAAAATTATTCGAAAAACTATTAACGTTTTATTTTTCAGCAGCTGTTCTTGAGCTGAGTTTCGGTAATTTTAACATAAAAGTGATCGTTATTATTTAAGTAATTTTTTTGAGTTACTTTTTACAAAAATTTTAATAACTGTACTTTTTTATTGAATCAAGTAGAATACGTTTTAATATTAATCCTTTTTTTTTTTTATTTTCGCTCACCAATTTTTAAAATGTTTCCTCGAAGTTACTCTTAAATACTTTAAATACGTCTAACATTTAATAAATATTTTTAAATCTTTTTTTTTAAAACCTAACAAACCCCCGTAAAATAATTATTTAAGTTTAAAATCTAAAACTAAAAGAAAGTATTTTTGTTCAGTTTTATCGACAACTTTGCTATTGCTGAATAATTTTATTAAAATGTTAGCTTAAAAGATTTATTATTTTTTTTTAATCTGAATTTTTTCTTTTTCTACTTCTTCTAATAATGAGCATATTTAATTTTTTTTTAATTCAAACCTTTATTTCAACTGCGTGCGGTTTTTAAAATACTTTATTAAATGTTAAAATAATCGTAAATTACTTCATTACAATTCCGCTCAAAAATATCTTTAAATATACTCAAACAAAAAATTTTTTGCTCGATGCAAATAGCCCTAGCTACACGCAAAATCGCTCTTGGACGACGTAAAATTCACATCGCTCGACGCTTTATCGCAAGGCCTGATATTTATTTATATATACAATACAAAAAAATAGCACTCAATAACAAAAAAAAGTATAGCATTCTGCTCTATAATGATGAATTCATTTTGCTTTGACAACAATTTTTCTGTTGTCAAAATTTTTATTTTTTTACAACCTTGATTTCCATAAATAAACTAAATCCTTTTTTTAATACTAATTTCTTCATTTGATAAACAAAAAATTGTCGATTTATACAATGAATTAAAAGATTAAAAAAAAAAAAAGATTTTGTCTGTATAGGGTATAAGCAACGCTAAAAAAGCTGGTATTGATTAATTTAAAAGAACTTTGTGTAGCATTTAAATCTGAAGCAGATAGCAGCCGTGGCGCAGTGGTAGAGCACTTGCCTCAGAAACGTTAGATCCGTGGTTCAAACCCCACCTTTGGGCGAGTCTTGCGACATTGGTTGGGAAGGAGGCGTGAACTTCCTATTAAATGCTCTTCTGCGGTGCTCTGTGATAAGACCGTAGGGACTTCTTGGGGCACCTTAATCAACTTAAAAAAAAACAAAAAACACTCTAGTTTAAATGTTTGATTTTCTATGTTTTGCAGACCTTGCATAAAATTGTGTGTAGCCACTAATTCATCTGTTGCTTACAGTATTTGTGTTTGTACAACTTATCAGAATATAAAGTTTTTAGCTGATGTTGTTAAAGTTGATAAATACTATAGAATTTTGGCGGGAATGGTTGTTTGCAATAGTTTAGTTGCAATCGATTGTTTCCAATAGGGATAATGCTGAGTGAAAATTACAGTGATGCCTGTTATGGCCTGTTGTTACTACTTAAAAAGAGTTCTTAACTGCAAAGTTTGGCAATAGCAATAAAGAAATAGCAATTACTCAATGGCATACATACAGATAGATACAGATAGAACTTTATTGAATATACAGATAGAACTTTATTGATCGATTAAAAAAATCACTGTTAAAGAATTTGTCGAACTTATAGGCAATCAAGCAGATAAACATCTCATTTGCTTATATCTAAAAATCAAGCCAAGTACTTTAAAGACCGTAAAGAGTTATTAAATCCCATTAGGTATATAATATTAGCTGGCTTTATAGATAATATTTTATTGCTTAGGATAAGGTGCAGAGTTACCACTTAAATTAACCAAAATCTACACCTCATCCTTTTATTAATGCTATAAATTAAGTGGTATACTGATATTTACAAATAATAGGATGGAAGTCTTTTTGCTTTCTTTCTGATGATGCTGATCATGATGTTTAATTCGCATATAAGATATAACAGCTCATTACCATTTACATCTATGCAAATATTCTACAAGTTTATATATAACATATACTATAGTTTATATATAACAATATTTCTATGCAACAATAAATACTATAGCTATTAAATACTTCACTGAGAATATGCAACAAAACATAAAAACTTTCAAAACTTTATTATTCATTGTCATTAGGGTTGAGAATACCAGGATCTCGGTATTTCCAGTAATTTGGAACAATTTATAGTTGTCAAAATATTGAAAAAGTCAAATACTGTTATTTCGGAATTCGAAATAATTTCACCATTTGAAATAATTTTACTATTCAAAAGTTTAAAAAGTTTAAAATCTTAATTGATATTATCGTTAAAAACAAAATTTCTTGTACAAAATTAAAGTTGTTGTATGATATAGGTTATTTTTACATGATAAATAAACTAAAAAATTAATAGTTAAATTAAAATTTTTTTTTTTTTGCGACAACTTAATTACGGTTTTTTGGATTTTTTAAAAATGTTTAAAAAATGGACTTAATGAATGTAAATGTTTATAAAACAATTTCTACAATTAATTTTATAAACAACAACGAAAACAGTTTTTTTAATAAACTTTCAAAAGTACATTTTTTTTAATAATGAATGCAATTTTTTAAAAACAGCTTGTGTTCCTAATTTTATAAACAATGACAACAACAAATGTATTTCAATAAACTTTTAAAAACACTTTGATTCAAAAAAGAGTAGAATTTTACAGATGGCAACGAATTAATTGATGAAGATTACAAAAATGAAAATGGTTTACTCATAATCTCAACTGAGAATGACGATAATAATTCTTCTTTTCTGGTAATGCAAATGTTATCATTAATTAAAAAATTTTGTAAAGTGGTTTAAAGTAAAGTGGTAAAATATTTCGATCTTCGCCTACGAAAAATGACAAATTCCTACAAAAATATGTAAAAAAATTAACAAAATAAAAAACATTAAGATGCATATGAAAAATCATTATTAGCAATAAATGATGCAAATGGAAATTCTTTTTTTCTAAAAAAAATATTTAAGTATAGTAAAAAATGTTCAAAACATTTAAAACTTAATGTTTGCCTTAATGACACACTGAAATAATGACATAATGACCTAATGACATGTCCAAAATATTAAAAACTTAATGTCTTAAAACATTGAACTAAATTGAATTTGATTGAATATTGAGAGAGAATAATAGAATATTTTTCCATATATAAAATGTTTCTTTGCAGTTTTGACTTCCAACATTTTTGCTTCACATAATGGAACTTTTGTTAAGATTGACAAAAACAAACGATACAATACAGATATTGACTGCGACAAAATTGACAACACATCTTTAATTAATTAATTTACTTTTTAATCAACCATTTCTTATTAGGCATAATTTAGTTGTCAAACTAAAATATCAGTTAAAACTAACAGTAACAGTTAAAAAAAATTTCTTAATTATTTTTACCCAAAAATAAATACTAAAAAAAATCTTTTACACCGGACTACTGATTTTTATTGCAGGTGACTCAAATGAGAAATAAAAACGGTTTCAGTTGCCCACAGGGCAATTGGGTAAAAACTGGAGGGTATATGCTGGAATAAAATTTATCTTTTTTATTTTATATTTATGCTCCTTGTACCTAAAAAATAATAAAAATATTTTTTATAACTCTCTTGTATTATTAATTTTTATTTATCTTCAAATTAATAGGTTGCAGTTCCAAGTTTGGTTGACGCTTGTTTTGGTGCAGATGTTTTGGTTTTTGTTGTCCCACACCAGGTTTTTTTTAGTTTAAATTTCTTTTTGTTGTTGTTGTTGTTGTTGTTGTTGTTGTTGTTGTTGTCGTCCCACATCAGGTATTTTAGTTTAAGTTTCTTTTTTTTTTTTTTTTTTTTTTTTTTTGTTATTCCACACCATGATTTTTTAGTTTAGGTTTCTTTTTTTTTTATTATTATTTATAACATGCGTCATGAAATTAAACTGAAATGCAAAATTTATTGTTATGTACATGTTTAGTTTGTTGTACCTGTCTGTAATCAGTTGAAAACCATTATTAAGCCTGGTGCTGTTGGTATTTCACTTATAAAGGTTAAATTTTTCTTTGTTTAACTTAATGTTCAAGTTAATTCATTTTTTTTATGTAGTTTTTATATTTTTAAAATGTTTCTGAATTGTATAACATAATAGTAAAGATGTTTAATTTTTTATGTATATAATCGTATATACACACAAATATTTTAAATGTGTTCTACAAATTTGAATGTTCAATGTTCTTAAAAGAACAGAGCATTAATAATTTGATATTTTATATATAAATTATTTAAATTATAATTAAATTAAATTTATGGTAATTATAATTATTATAAATTAAAGCAATAGTAAGTATATATCATCAAATGTATCAAATTACATTTTATTTACATTGATTTTTCTTTATACCTTCCCTTAAATCAAGATTAAATCAAATCTAAGGTGTGTATTGTATATCATTTTATTTTTATATAACTTTTAAAGAATGTCTAAGTAAAATTAGGACGTCTTTAGAATGTCTGAATAAGACTTCCTTAAGTCTTTCACATGAGACCAGCCAGAGACGTCCACAGGACGGTTGAAAAAACGTCTCTAAGATGTCTGCAAAAAGCGTGTTTTAAAGAAAAAACGACTTAGCTCATTAGCTATGTGTGTTTTTGACATCATAAAATTATTTTTTTTTAATTTGTTTAAGATTTTTTAAAACTACCGCAAAAAATAAATTTTGCAAAACAACTTTAATTTTTTTAAGTTAAGAAAAGCAACTAGGAATTTTGTTAATGTTTTTTTTTTTTAGTTTTATCTTGTTTCAAATTTTTTTGTTTGTTTTATAAAGGGATCTCCAACAAAAAATGCTTTTGTTAATATCTCATTCAATAATTTGTTTTGCAAAGTTTAATTAACTTTTAACTTATATTCTAATGTTTATCTATGGTATGAACACAACTTGTCTCACTTAAATATTAAATGATTGAATTTAATATTACATTTTTCATTATAATTTAACAGAAATTTTAATTTTTCAGAAAATTTCATTTCTCAACATTAGTATAAATAAATTAAAATATGTTAATTTTATTATTTTAAATTGCGGCTTTGCAAATAATTGTGATTTTTTTCTTTTAAAAAGTTAAACAAAAAAAAAAATTTTACTAACTAAAAATATTACTTGTTGCAAAAAAAAAAAAAATCACATTAATTACATTGTTCATAAATTATGCAATGTGAAACTTATTTAAAAAATAAAAGAAGGAAATTATTTGCTCTTTTGCGCAGCAATTTTCATTGAACTTATAAGAACTAATTTGAAAGTTTTGGTTTAATTAAAGATATGTGAAAGAAAACTTTTGAACTTTTGATTTTTTGTATTGTTATGGACAATCCCAAACATCAGATTTGATAAACTATTTCTCAGCTAATAATTTTAATTTTTGTTTTTTAGTTGTTGTTTTTTAAATCGGTAATTATTTCTGTTATTGTTTGTTATGAGAAAATATCTGAATGAATATTCTTGCGCTTGTAAGGTGATAAATAAAAAATTTTTATTATGATTATTTTATGATTTATTTTTTTATGTGCCTAAAATATATTATTTTTTTCTTTTACTGAACATTTTTACTGGAAAAGTTAGGTTAATAAAAATAAAATTTTTTGTAAAAAGAAAAATTAAAAATCTTTTTTCTTTAAAAAATTAATAATTAAAATCCTTAACTATTCCATTTGACCCGATTTTACTCTAATCATTAATCTTTCAAAAAATATAAAGATTTTGATCTTCAAGTATATGGATTTCCCAAGACATATGGGAAGGGGGGAATGGGGCGATTGCCCCACATTTTTTGTAGTGGAATCTTGTGATAGATTTTTCCCTACCTTTCAGACAAACCTTTCAGAGAAAATAAATGACATTTTAGTCATTTATTTTCTCAATTAATTTTATTTTTTTTATTTTTTATAAAGTAAAGATAACTTTGAAAACATTTTTTTTTGAAAATTTTTTCAAAAATGTTAAGATTGTGTTAAGATTTGCTTAGATGTGTCAACGGTCAAAGTATACATATGTCCAGTTGTTGTTACAGGTGTATTAAATGGAGAATTGTGGGGTTAAATGAAATACGCTAATAAGTGAAGCAATATCTCACTTCTTAAATGTGGCTTTTTTTTATTAAATCTCAAGTGACCAATAAATCTCCAGCTATAAATTTTTTCACTGGGATTTTTCTGAATTCAAATAAATGACTTTTACTGATTACTTTTATTAAATGAATCCAAAGAATAAATCAAATACGCTTGTTATTCTCTTGTTAAATGCAGTTTTTATTAATTAAGTCAAGTGAACAAGCTATTTCTATAAATTTTGTGCATAAGTAACATTGTAACATAGTTGGGCCGTATTGATCACAGTGGCTAACTAACATATATGTTCCCGCCATTAAGAAAATTCCAGGTAATTAGTTTATTCTAATTGTAGTTATCTAATTATGTTTACATTTTTATTTTTATTATTCACAAATTTTTACATTCACAAAAAATTACATAAGTCTAATTATAATTATCTAATTTTAGGTATTCATATTTTAATCCTAGATGGACATGTGATACATGTCACTTATCGGGTTGTACTTATTTGCATCGAAAACAATATCTTGTTAAATTGCTTACCAGCTCACTCGCCACATATTCTGCAGCCACTAAATGTCGGTGTTTATTGTAATGTTAAAAGAGTTTGGCACAAATTACTTCAACAGTTTTATGCAGAGACAAATTCAGCAATTTATCAAAAGAATGCTTTGGTTACCTGCAAAAAAAACTTTTCAGCTCTGGTGAAGTTTTTATATGTATCCAAATAGTACTAGGTTTCAGAATACTGGCTTGTTTCCACTTGACATCAATAAAATCGATCAGTCAAAGCTGCAAATTGCTAATACGTTTGAAACACTTTCATCTGAACCTGAACCTTCATCCAGATGTATGCCAGGACTACACAAATGATGAAATTTTTAGAGCTTTAGTTTGTCTGGAAGGTAGTGAAAAATCTATCACAAGATTCCACTACAAAAAAAGTGGGGCTGTTGCCCCTTCCCCCCCCTCCCCCAAATGTCTTGAAAATTTTTCAGAGCTCCAGCTAGTCTAATGCTAGTCAAAAATCAATTGCATTATTCAGCTACAAAAAAGTGGGAACCATGCCTTGTTATCCATATATGGAAATCTGTATACTTACAGATCAATTTCTTTATATTTTTTGAAAGATCAATGAGTATAGAATGTGTAATGATTTTTTTTTTTTTATATCTTCAAGGCCACATGGGCTTTTGAGCATTAAAACAGGTTTATAAAAAATTACCTAAATTTATTTAAATTGATAATTAAAGTTACTTAATAATAATTTTTCATACTTTTGATCGATTTATTAGATTTGTCACCCCTTAGAAATAGCCAGTTACAAATTTAAAAGTAAAAAAAATCAAATATTTTTAAAGTTATGTGACTTGAAACCTTTAACATTGCAATTTTGAGAGGGACAAGAGGCATCTGGCCAGAATCTGCTAAAAGTAAAGTTTTCATATTTCAGGATCTTTTTGGAGCCAGAGGTTAAAATTTCAAAGAATTCTTATTTTACTAATCACTCTGAACTGTATAAAATTCAGCAAAATCTGATTTAAGGGGTAAACAGATTCTATCTGTTGACCAGCCTCGCACCCCTTCCTCATCTATTAGGCTGGCGCAGATGTATTTTTAATACATTGTTTCCAGTTTAGGATGTTGAACGCTGGACCTTCTTGACTCAATGCGTGGGTATTGCTTGTGTCTATTTTTATGACTGGGCAACTCATTCTATTATCTCCTAATGAGGGTACAGCTCTAAAACTCAGTTTTATGGTTCTGAGGCCGACTGGTAGTCAGGTTTCCCGAACTCTGTGGTAGCTCTCAGAGAGGCTGATTCCATCAACAGCCGAAAAATATCAGAGTACTAACAGTGCCATGTTGCGCATGGATGGTGTCCCTGTTTGTACTTTTGGTGTGCATTGCAGAGGCCACATTTGGAGCCCTTTGTTACGGCTTAGGTTTATTAATAGTAATGAGGCTATTGCTTAGTTGTTAAATAGTGTACTGAGTACTATCTATACTTGAGTCAAGTTCTTTATAAATTTAAAATGACTAAAGTACCTAAAACTAAAAAACACAAAAAACCATCGTCATCACCAAGTTCTCTAAACCTATCATTTACTAATATTCGTGGTCTTCGAAGTAACTTTTCTTCTGTTGAGTCTTATCTCTTGCAAAGTTCACCAGACCTACTTGCTCTTTGTGAGACTAATTTGAGTTCGGCTGTCCCATCTTGTGATCTTAGTGTTGATGGTTATCTTCCTTTAACTCGTAAAGACTCCAATAATCACATGCTTGGCCTGGGCATCTACATTCGTAAGAACTCACCCATTTGTCGTGAAACTAGGTTTGAATCTACAGACTATTCATTTATGTGCTTTCGTTTAGCACAACTTCACTCTATCGCCTTTCTCTTTGTTCTATATCGCTCTCCTTCATCCCAAGATTGCACTACTCTTGATGTTATTTCTGATCAAATTGACCAAGCCCTCTCTCTTTATCCATCGGCCAATATCGTCGTTGTTGGTGACTTTAATGCCCATCACACTGATTGGCTTGGCTCTAGTGTCAGTGACTCTGCTGGCGTTAAGGCCCTCAACTTTTGCCTTTCTCAATCTCTAACTCAAATAGTCAACTTTCCAACTCGTTTTCCAGACAACCCTAATCATTTACCTTCTCTACTCGACTTATGTCTTGTTTTGGATCCTAGTCAGTGCTCAATTTCTCCACATTCACCCTTAGGTACTTCTGATCACGGTTTGATCTCTCTAAAACTATTATCAAATTCTTCTACTTCATCAGAATCCCCCTATCATCGTACCACATACAACTACCTTAAAGCTGACTGGGACTCTTTCCGTGATTTTCTTCGTGATGGCCCTTGGGTAGAAATCTTTCGTCTTCCTGCTGACAAATGTGCTTCTTACATAACTTCGTGGATTCTGGCTGGC